TGCCGTTAAGCCTGAACGAAATCAAGATCGGCGCCTCCAAAAAAAGAGCCAAAAGATCCCTGCGCTTTTGGAGAAGAAGAGCTCGCCAGGATAGGAAGGTCTGTGGGCGGAACTTTTGCTCTCCACACTTGTACCGAGTGAGGCAGTTCCCGATACAACATGGATGCTGCTGTATGTACGATGCCGTTCTTACCGGTCAATCTGTACATACATTTGGGCTATGCAACGATAATCCTTGACATGGTGCAAGTGCCGCGTTTCCGTGCTGTGACATCAGATTATCCATGACGCACCGTCAATTTTGGTGATCAATGCAGGACCCTTATGGTCTATACAGCTATAAGAACCGCCCCGCCGTGACCAATTGATCGTCTCTGCACGACCAAACCTGTCCTGTCTTTCCAAAATGCGGTTCAGTCTGATCAGCACTCTTCTGGCCTTTGGGACTCTGTCCCAGGCTGCCTTCAACAAGGATGCCATCAACGCCTTCAATCGCGTGCATCCTCGCCGATACGACGAGAGGCGCGCTGCTGCGCCGGTCGCCCCGGAGGAGTCTGCCTTTGAGAAGCGATCCAAGAGCAAGTTCCTGAACAAGCATTCTGAAAAGTTTGTTGTCAACGGCTCTGCTATTCCTGAGGTCAAGTTCGACGTTGGAGAGTCTTATGCTGGACTGCTCCCAATTTCTCAGGATCCTAAAGAGGAGCGCAAGTTGTACTTTTGGTTCTTCCCTAGCACCAACCCCAAGGCTAAGCGAGACGAGGTCGTCATTTGGTAGGTTCTGGTCTAATTGATAGATTGGAGAGTAGTTCTGACTTTTTTAAGGTTGAACGGTGGTCCCGGTTGCAGTTCGCTTAGTGGTCTCCTCACTGAGAACGGTCCTTTCCTCTGGCAAGAGGGAACTCTCTCTCCTGTGCCCAACACCTACAGCTGGACCAACCTGTAAGTGCCACGCTTAGCTGTAACTGTGGCTTGACTAACAGCCCTAGCACAAACGTTATCTGGATCGAACAGCCCGTCGGTGTCGGCTACAGCCAAGGCAAGCCCAACATCACCAACGAAGTTGAGCTCGGCAAGCAGTTCATCGGCTTCTGGAAGAACTTTATCAACACCTTTGAGCTCAAGGGCGCCACCACCTACATCACTGGTGAATCCTACGCCGGCTACTACGTCCCCTACATCGCCGATGCCTTCATCACTGCCAACGATGACGATTACTACAAGCTCGGCGGCGTGGCCATCAATGATCCTATCATTGGTGACGGCACTCTTCAGCAGCAGGCCGTCATCTACCCGTACATCGAGTACTGGTCGAACCTGTTTTATCTCAACCAGACCTACATGAATGCTCTGCGATGGACCCATCAGCACTGTGGGTATGAGAAGTATCTCAAGAAGTATGGAACTTTCCCTCCGCCCGAGGAGAAGTTCCCTGTTCTGCCTGATCCCTATGCCGATACGAATCCCAAGAGCAACTATACTTGTGACATCTTCGACTATGCTTACGCTGCTGCTCTTGACTCGAACCCTTGCTTCAACATCTATCACATCACTGATACCTGCCCCCATCCTTACAGCCAGCTCGGCATTGTCAACCAGGTAAGCTTATCTCCACCATTTCTGCAAATCAGTGCTAACAAGTACAGGGTGACTACTCTCCTCCCGGTGCCAAGGTCTACTTCAACCGCACAGACGTCAAGAAGGCTCTCAACGCTCCCACCGACGTGACATGGTATCAATGCACTCCCAACAAGGTCTTCGGCTTTGGCGACCCCAACTCCAACCGCAGCGACACTTCTCTCGCGCCCGCTCAGAACGAAGTTCTCAAGCGCGTCATCGAGCACACCAACAACACCATCATCGGAGTCGGTCGTCTTGACTTCCTCCTGCCTCCCAACGGAACTCTCTTCGCCATCCAGAACGCCACCTGGAACGGCAAGAAGGGTTTCCAGAAGTATCCCCAAGACAAGCAGTTCTACGTCCCCTTCCACATCGACTACAACGGCGGACGACTCAGTGAGGAGGGTATTGTCGGACAGTGGGGTGAGGAGCGTGGATTGACGTGGTATGAGGTTCAGCTTGCCGGCCATGAACTGCCCGGGTATAGTGCTGGTTCGGGTTACCGTGTTCTTGAGAAGTTGCTGGGAAGGATCAAGAACCTGGGAACGATTGAGAACTTTACTACCCAGAAGGGTAACTTCCAGGGAAACCCTCATGAGCGCGACTTTAGCGTCGTGAACCCGCTGGGTCTTCCTTGGGGCCATGGATTTACCTACGCTTAAGCGGTCATCTGCAGATAATTTTTAGTAACAAAGAATTGAACTATTTATTCAGTAAGATATATAATTATGCGAGTGAGCTGAAGTTTATAGGAAACCTCAGACTTTAAGGATGGAATTTGAATGCCTCTTTCGGAAATCCCATCCCACGTGACGAACTCAAATTCTCGCAGCCATTCACATCGCGCAATTTACTCCTCGATTTGACATGACCCCTCCATCACTCTTCAGGGTCGTCGACTGAGCCTTAAACATGCAATACAAGGGTCAAACTAACCATCAAAATGCTTCGGATACCACTGACGTCCAAGCGGTACAGAGCATATACTTACTCAGTCGCGAGATCGCAGCATGACTCGCTTCAACGGCAAAAGTATGTGGTTACTTAGCTGATCGATCCACCCAATCTCACTGCCATAGAATCATCTCAACCTAGTGGATAAGGTCATTTGAAGAGAAAAAAGATACTAGGAAGTAAAAGCTGGCTCGAGTATAGCCCGCGTGGAAACAATTCGGCTTGAGTTCATCATTGGGATAAATGGCTTCATTCTGCACCGTTGCCACTACGTAGGCGAACGCATATTAGGAGTACAATTATTGGGAGAGGCTGCAAGCCGGCCCCCATGACATCTGCACGTCAACGTGGACCAATTAGATCCGAGGTCAGCCACCGGAGAAGTGCATGCATGTGCTTATATATGACCTGGGAGAAAATAACATGCAGAGCCAACAGCTCATGACTGACTGTTGATAACAGAGCAACCTATCTCAGTCGCATGTCTTTACACCCACAATAGCAAGAGACTCGCAAGTTTTTTTACAATGAATAACCAAAGTGAACTAATTAACATCAAAGGGAACGCCCTTCATCGCTTTGTACTACACTCTACATTGTTACGTCTGATTGACCCTGTTCGCGGCAAACCGACCCGGAATACACTCGATGAGAACCCAGACGGCGGCTTTTCGAGTGCATGGCAGCTCCAGCAAAAGTTTCTAGACTCATTTGCCCTTATTTGTTCAACATCTAGCTCAGGAGCGAAAACAGCTACGGCTGTTTGTCTGGAAATACATGACCAAATTGGAAATATCCTCCGTTTGGCCCGCAACCATGGCTTGACACCTGAGGATCTAGCTGAACTAGAAAGAGTTCTGCAAGTGCTGCAAGAGGTTGCTAGAAGGGGTATGCAGTCTTTGCAAAATTGAAATGAACGTGACTAATATGGCGAGCGATACAGAAAAGCCATCATCGCAAGCCGAGACCGAGGTTCTACAGCTGGTTGCTGAACTTGACAGAGGCCGAATTTTGCGAATTGCAGAGAGGATCGAGAAGCAAGGCATTTGCCAGTTTCTACAAAAAACACAATCTGGAGTGCAATACAGGCAACTCCAGTCAGAGAAGTTCAAGATCTGGCTCGAGAGCTGCCCTTTCACAGCCTCTAACTCCCACATCCAGAATTGGACCTGTGCGGCTATCGTCAAGCTCATCAATTGGGCGTCGGAAGCTCGATGGCAGTACGCTGAGCAACTACGAACTTTACTAAAACTTGATGAGTCACAAAGTCAGGCCTGGTTGGATCATTTACATAAAGTCGCTCGCTATCGTTCCGACATCAAATCTATGGTCAAATTCGCCGTGAAGCAACCCGGCATCTTCGTCAATATTGGCATCCGACCGATCAATGCTCCTAAGCCATGTCGGTTCAAATTCCCATACGGCGACGCTCCACTGCTTGCAATCGTTAACAGGCTTTTGGGAAAAGACACAAACTCGACAATGGAGAAGCTTGAGAAACATTTGGGCACCCATGATGTTGAAGTGAAGCTGCGTGAAGCCTCTCCCGCGAAACTGACGCTTCATGCCGAGATGCAAATCGTTGTTTTTTACGAATGCAACCCTGGTTTAGCTCCCCACCTGAGGCTTATTGGGACGAGCAAAAAAGCTTGCTTTCTTTGCGACAAATATCTGCGTCATCATCCACTCGGGCTTCAAGCTTCCGCTTGTCACCAAAGGATTTATCAATCGTGGATGCCGCCTCCGTACAATAAATCCCCAGGAGATTCAACGAGGACCCCCTTTAGAAAGCTAAGTGGCGATATCGAGAAATTGACGAGGCAGGAGCTAAAATCGGCACTAACTGCTCCCCCCCGACCACCAAACTATGATTCGACTGCTGGGCCTTCTCTGACATTAACAGCAACGGTACCAACGGAACTGAGGTCACTGCAAAGGATTCAGGGAAATAACACGATCCAAGATGTCAGTTCCTCAGAGGACTCTGACTGAATTGCCGCGGCACGGTCTGGGCGCGGGATGTCCAATAAGATGCATCGTCAACCATCCAAAACTGTCCACATACATGCACGGTGCATTATCCCACACCACCAACGTGGGCTGGGCTGCTGTTGCCAACGGACATTGGCCAGTTAGATGGTGAAAACCACCTTAACGAGCCGACAGTTAAGTTTATTCAAGACCAATTATCTTGCGGGGCTCGTAATTCATGTGCACAATGGAAGAGGGGAATGACAATATCTTGATGCCTGATTCTGCAGGAGGCCGACCAACAATCTCATCATCGCAATGTATACTGGATTGGGTATCGGGGACCAGAGCTCGGCGGGTTATACATTCAAGATAAAAAGCCACCATTGCTGCCACAAATCCCAACAGAAACATATAACCTTCATTTATTATCTACAAAGATCATAGAGACAGCTGAAATGAATGCAAACATTGCCGTAGGAGATCACCGAGATCTCCTAGATATCATCGATAAGCTTCGCTTGCAGGGAGTCAGTCATTATATTGACCTTCCCGAAATTATTGTCTGTGGAGATCAGTCTGCAGGGAAGAGCTCTGTCCTCGAGGCCGTCTCAGGAATGAAGTTCCCAATCAAGGACGGCCTTTGTACGCGTTTCGCCACGGAGTTGGTTCTTCGTCGGGGCCCCAACATAATTACCAATGTATCCATTACTCCTGGTGAAAGCCGGTTTGGCGACGACAAAGAACGCCTTGAAAATTGGAAGCCAACAACTAGCATCAACGGAGAGGATCTAGGCGCCGTGACGAAGGAGGCAGAGGCTATGATGGCCATCCAAACCGGCACAGGGGAATTCTACGAAGATACACTCCGTGTCGAGCTCATCGGACCAGAGAAGCCACACCTAACAATGGTGGACCTTCCTGGTCTCTTCAGAGGGGGGAACAAGAATCAATCTGACGCCGATATCAGCATTGTTCACCATATGGTGGAGAAGTATATGGCACGAGAGCGGAGTATCATCCTCACTGTCGTGTCAGCCAAGTACGAGTATGTTCTGCAAGAAGTCACTCGGATGGCCCAGAAAGCCGACCCTGAAGGCTTGAGGACCATGGGCATTATCACAAAGCCTGACACATTGGATGTTGGCTCTGAGTCTGAAGACTACTTTGTGCGCCTCGCCCAGAACATTGAAGAAAAGCTCGACCTTGGATGGCATGTTTTGAAAAACCGCAGTTACGACGAGCGTGATTTCACATTGGCACAGAGGAACGAAAAAGAGAAAGAGTTTTTCTCTCAAGGATTATGGGGTTCCACTGAGCCTTCACACTGCGGAGCAGGGTCCTTAATGGTCAGACTTAGTAACGTCTTGAGGAACCAAATTCTTGTTGAGCTTCCGAGTCTTGAAAAGGATGTTGAACATGGTATTCTCAACTGCGTTGAGAGACTCGAACGTCTGGGCCCGGAACGAGGTACCCCACAGCAGCAACGAAGCTACCTTTTGCGTGTGAGTGAAAATTACACACTTTTGATGAGGCAGGCAGTCGATGGTATTTACACTGATCGTTTCTTCGGCAACCGGAACGATCAAGGTAGTTTTAACAAAAGACTAAGAGCTCTGGTGCGGTCGAGACTTGACGACTTCGCAGAGGAAATGCGAGTCGACGGTCAGAGCCACCGTATCGTCGATTCAGCGAGCGGAAGTGAAGACGAAGGCCCTGACAACTCCCGCGCCGGAGTAACAAGCATCCCTCGGTCTGAATTTATTGGCAACGTTGCTCGCCGTCTCAAATTCAACAGAGGTCGCGAGCTTCCAGGTCTCTTCAATCCTCAGATCGTTAATGATCTTTTCGTCGAGCAATGCACGCCCTGGGAGGGGATTGTCAAGAGACTTGCTGATGACATGCTCGAGATAGTGCACTTGACGACTGAAAAGGTAGTTGAGCAAAGTGCCGCGAGGGAAGTCTCCGAGGGGGTCTTGAAACTCATTCGTAAAGAAGTAGAGGGGCTGAGAATCAAAATGAGCGGCGAGATTGACAAACTGCTTTTATCAGCTATGCAACATCTTATTACGAATAACCCGGACCTTGTCCAGAACGTCCAGCAGATCCAGGAAGACCGACACAAACGCATGATCAAGTCACTGATTGCCAAGATGTTTGGAACAAACCGTTTCGACGGCTCTGACAAAAAGATCAGTATAAATCCGCTTGAACTCTTAACATTGGCAGGGCGGGGATTTGAGCCAAACATGGAACGCTTCGGAAGCGCATTGGCAGTAGATTACATGAAGGCGTTCTATAAGGTAAGACATATTCCCGAGCTGAGATTGGCTGATTCAATCCCACTGACAAGTTTAATTTACTCGTAGGTTGCAGTCAACAGGTTCATCGATGATATAGGCGCCCTAGCGATCGAAAACTGCCTTATTAGCAAGCTTCCCTCGCTTTTCACTTCAAGCAGTGTCGCTGAGATGTGTGACGAAACGTTACGACTCCTTGCAGGCGAAAGTTATGAATTATCCGCCGAGAGAAAACGCCTAGAGGTGAAACAGGGGATTCTAGAGAAAGGATTACAGGATCTCAAGAGCCTCTACAAACACAGCACGGTCGTCGGTAGCAAAGGGTACCACGCCCTGTTATCCGAAGATCTTGAGAAGGTGCCAGCCATCACACAGAGCAAATCTGAAAAAGGATCATCTACTCCCGATAGGGGGAGGGCAGCCTCTGAAGTCTTTGTCGAGGAAGTCCCCATTAGTCAGGAACAACGCCCTGAACTTCGAGCAGATCACATTAAGTGGCCAGATCAAGATGGCGCGAAGGACTTCTGGTCACCTCCTGCGATGAGGAAGTACGTGACGGACACCCTGGGTGAGGGACATCGATGGGGCAACTGAAATGTGTCTGGCATAGACCAGGAAGTCCATTCAGCTATCTAAGTAATCCTGTTAATATTCATAGGAGCCGCTCTTCTTGATAACACCTGGAGCCAAAATGTTACTCATAACCCACCTTACCTGTAGCCAATGCGATACCTGTTTAGTCACGTTATTTAAAGGTAGGATAGAAATAGGAGATTAATCTTTGAAGTATCTAGCTGTAATTTTGCCGTGAAAAGCAGACTCAGTGCCGAGTAGCTCCCTTCAAATCTTTTACAGACTCGTACATCTGCCATGTGTTCTCGCGAACACGTCGGCCCCAAATAGCGCAGGGGATGAAAAGTAGACAGACAGCGGTAGCGACGCATCCGCTGATGATGAAGAGCTTTGAGATGCCGATGGATGATATCCAGCCGACAACACCGAATGGAACTCCTATGGAAGGAATGTTGCGGATAAACGTAACGGAGATGAAGGCCTCTGCTGTAAGCTGCTGATTATTAGTTGCTGTCTTTCAGTGTCAGCTGGATAGACGTACGGTTTGGTAAATGTCGATGATGATGGTGCATGATATGTCAATCATGGATGCCATACCAAAGCCAAACATGGCACCTCCAATGCTTGGATAGATCCAGTGCCAGCCCTGATACGATTAGCCAACGAAACAATCTCGCAGAAAGAACGATACTCACCTTATCAGCTGATATCCCAAAGAATAAAAGTCCACCGCCCATAAGAAGCGCCGGCAACAGAAGAATATACAATCTCATCTCCGGCTCAAAAATCCCCTTATTCCTCTTCGCCAACTTGACAACAACCCAATCACCCAACACACCGCCATATACACTCCCCAGAAAGTTTCCCACAAACGGACCAAGAGACATGAGCCCTACGCCCGCTGTGTTAAAGTTGTACGGCGGTGCGGAGAAGATCATGGAGATGGATGATGTGAGAAGGATGAGAAATGCGACGCAGCTGGCTACTTGAAGCGCCGAGAAGAGAACGTGGGGAAAGAGAAACATTTTGAGGGGAACGAGATAATTGCGCCAGAGGGGCTCGTCTGTGCGTGTTATGAACCGCATTCGTTCTTTGTATGTAAGGCGGGATGGGTGGGTTTCTGAGTTGAGGTCTGAGTCTTGAATGTCTCCTTGCGCTGATTCATCCTTTGGGTTCTTGAGTGTGGATGTGCCTTGATTTGAAGTGTTCCGTGTTTCTCCAATAGTCACGGGTATAAATTTTGTCTCTTCAAATAAGAAGATGAACAGGAGGAACAGGACGGTTAGGACGATGCCAGTGGTGTAGTATGTCCATCGCCAGTCTTGAGCTGCTGCTTGAACACCAACTATACAAGGACAGACGAATTGACCGACCATAACAGCCATGATATAAAACCCATTCGCTGTACCCCTCTGATGGACAAAGAACAAGTCCGCAATCTAAATCTGTCAGCACTGTCTACCACCAATCATTACATCGTAATCACTTACCGTGATCTCCGAAATCGTCTCGTTAATACTCGCCGCCAGCCCCGACAGGAAATTCGTAACATACATCTCCCCCACAGTCTCCATCCTCCCACTCCACCACGACACCGCAGCCATAAGCCCAGTAGATAGTATATAGCAAGGCCTAGAACCGTATTTCCGAGCGAGTGGGATAAAGAGGAAACTTCCGAGGGCGAGACCAGCTGAGTTGAAGGCGACGCCGTAGTTGAGTTGGTCGTAGGTTACGTGCATATCGACAATCATTTGTTGCCATAGGACCATTTGCATAACAATGCTGAGGTTGCTTAGTATTAGATGGGAGAATGGGGAGGGGGGAGGCATACGCTGAGAAGAATGCTACTGTTACGGCGAGGACGAGGGTAAAGTTCCATGCTTTTCGGCGTTTGCTCCAGTTCTGGGGTTGTTAGATGAGATGCCAAGGGGAAGGGAGGAACTGACAAGAGGATCGTTGGGATCCTGTGAGGGTGTTGGAACGAGTATAATCTCAGAGCGACCTGTATAATGCGTCAGTGCCTGCGTAGAGTGATTGCTGGCGATGCAACTAACTCAGGAGACGCGAAGTGCCAGGGGGGAAGCTCAACTCGCTATCCATATTTGCCAATACTGGAAGAAAATAACAAAGGCAGAGGAATAGTGAGATGCTCGTCAGGTTAAACCTGTAATCCTTTCAGCCAAGTCCTCGAGGATACCCCGGATTTATAGCGATCCCCCTTATCACCCCGAAACCGGCTTCACCCCAGCCTAGAGAAATCTTTCACCAACCCATCGGTACACCCCGCAAAATACCGATGGCCCTAGCATCCAAGGAGCAGGTCCACCCACTCACCCAGATAACACATGTAACACCTGATTGGCTGCGTGTCGACCATCCTAAAACGGTCTAGCTAGAACAAACTCAGCTCAACGCCTCTCACTTTCGTCTCTTTATCAAGATCAACATCGTTATCACCCCTTTCCAAGGCCTTATCTAGTATTTCCTCTAAAATTAGTGCATTCGGTGTATCGCGGTATGCGTCGCAGATACTCCCGCACCGACGGAGTATTCGTACCCATGTTGGCCGAGTTTGGAGAATGGTTACTTCAAGACGCGCTGCTGTGTAGGGATATAGCATGCTGTTCGTAGCGAGGATATGAGCGTATTCTTCGCGCTGGCGAGTTTCGTATAGTGCGTCGATGGTGGCTACCAGACGACAAACTAGTAACTCATTGGATGGCGAGCCAGCTTGTGTGCGCTTTTGTCGTCGAGCAAGTAAGATGCCCGATAGCCGAAATGCTTCCCAGAGATGAACATGCGGAATAGACCCCTCATGGCCCTCCCAGTCCGCAAGGTCCTTCTCCACATCGTCATTGGCCATTCTCCCAAAAATATCGAGAAGACTTCGCGGCAAGCCCGAGACACTTTCGACACCGCCGACTAGCCCCGTTGAAGACGCTTTTTGGGCTGCGCGGAGATAACCCCAGATGCCAAGGGTTGGTGTGTCGCGCCCGCGGACAAAAGTGGGAATGTCCATTATGGCCATGGCCTCAAGCGAAAAGCGATATTCCAGATCCCCAATGCGATGTGCGTTCTTGGACTGCGGGAAGAGATGGTACACCCACATCATGTGATTCAGATGCGCTGTCCATGGAATTCCTTGGAACAACTACCAGACAGACCTAGTCAACATCTGGGGTTTGGCATGAAGAGGTGGAGTGCTTACGTGGAGAGTGCAGAGGAATACACCCGCGTTTACCAAACCCCCATCCAACGTCCCATCAAACCGACCTAGCTGCTCACGGAAAAGACGGAGACTTTGATTGCACAGATCGTGGAATAATGGTGGGGGGTTCCGGGGGTTGGTGTTGTAGACGTGTGTGGCGATAAGGCCGAGAAATAGTGGTTCGTTTTGCATGGCCAGGCGTTGGAGTTCAAGAGGGAATGGATCTTCTGTGGAGGTGGAGTAGAAGAGGAACACGGTTTTTTGTATAACTGGGTTGTTTAGCGGGAAGATATTGGGGTTGGCACTTGGCTTACATTCTTTGAAGAGGTGTTTCTCTTGGGCACTTCTTCTTTGCAACCATTGCGGTTCTTCAGTCTCGATCACCGGGTACTCCATCTCCATTAAATTCTGCACCGGGCCATTCTCAGCATCAACGCCCAACGGGAAAGCCTGGAACTGCCCAAACCCCTCCGCATCATCAATCTCATACCCTCTCCTCCTCTTCTTCTCACTACCAGTACCCAGAACAGGAAGTGAAGCACCAGTAAGTTTACCCCTCGACGCAACGCCTACATCCCACTGCAACTTTAGAGCATAGCCTTCACAGGTGAGGTTGTTCTTTTGGCATTCACGACATGCTGGTTTTGTCTCGTCGCATTTCCGATGGCGTCTTTTGCATGTTGAACAGCCGGTTCTTGAGCGGGACATGTTGTGATGGATGAGTTGGAGATAAGAGATGGGGTGTAGGTGTTGGAGTGATAACGAGATGGGGCGGTCTGGGGTAGCAGAATGATTAGCTTGGTCGGCCCGAGGGCATCGTCATAGCTGATATGCTTGAGGCTAAGATAATCATCCACCTTGAGATCACCCTGATGTTTCTCATGATAATATTACAGGTTCAGTATTTTACACTACTCTACATCTATACTATCAATAGTCAACTACTTCTTATAAACCCTCTCACCCCCAAACCACGTCTCATCAACCTTCATCTCCAACAATCCATCCACCTTCACAACCCCCGGCAACACCATAAAATCCGCCCTCAACCCCGTCTCCAACCTCCCCGTCCAACCCTCCGCAAACCTCGAATACGCAGCCCCATACGTCGCGCCCCTCACAGCCTGCTCCAGCGTCAACGCACTCTCCCCGTTCGTAACCGTCTCCCTCTCCGGCTCCAGCGCCGACTTTCTCGTCGTAGCATTATACAAATTCGGGAACGGCAGGTGTCGCGCCGTAGGTGCGTCAGTACCAATAGCCACGTTTGCGTGCCCGTCGATACATTCTTTATAAGGGAAGCAGTGTTTCCACGCAGATGGCTTGACGAGCTTTTCGTAGCCTTCTAGAATGGCGGGGTCGCTGTGCACGGGTTGCACCGAGGCGGTGATACCGAGACTACCGAGACGGAGGGCGTCTTCGGGGGTGGCCATCTCGAGATGTTCGATGCGGTGGCGCGCGGTGGGATTGTTGGTGCTTGCGATGGCGGAGATGGCTTGGGAGACTGCTACGTCGCCGATAGCATGGATGGCACATTGCATTCCGGCTTTTGTGATTTGTGACAGAACGCGGTTCATTGCTTCGCCGGGCCAAAGGGGTTGAACCAGATCGGTTGATTCACCGTAAGGATATGACAATGCGGCTGTGCAGCCGTCGACTACACCATCGCACATGAGTTTGACGCCGACGATGCAGAATTCTGGTGATTTCGAAGGATGGAATTTGCTGTGCATGTCGATAGCTTCTTGGATCTTCTCATGGAGCACCTTCTCGTCTGCTTCGTAGGGAACGAACCAGTGAGCTGCGATGTGAAGATTGATGCCCTTCCTCTCCCGTAACGTCTGTAACGCTTCCCAAGCTACTGCATCCATCGCCATGTCGATAACCCCAGTGTAGCCCTCCGCTGAATAAGCCTGAACTGCTCGTTCTAAAGCTTCAAGCTTATCGTCCATTGAGAGTGACTGGATCAGAAAGGGCCATATAAATGCTGTGACAGCCCATTCTGCCAATAGTCCAGTCGGGTTGCCGTCCTTATCGCACGTGAGATGTTCCGGGCATTTTGCCTTGATCTCATCAATAGGGAGTTCTTTTAAAGCAGCTGTATTGCACCACGCGGAGTGAAGATCATTTGAATCGATGAAGATAGGCCGTGGGTCAATATCATCAATCATACTCGCAAGAGCAACTCCATCTGTCGCAGATTGAAGCCATCCTCTGCATAGAATTCTAGGTAGGTCTGGGTTGGCAGCAGCAAAGTCTGTTATCCTCTGTCGAATCTCTTTTAGGGATTTGCATCCTCCAAGGTCGAGTTTTTGCTGTGACAGACCGAAGAAGAGAAGATGGACATGGCTGTCGATGAATCCAGGAAGGACAACGCGATTATCAAGATCCAGAATTTCTACGCCTCGAGATTTTGCGTCTTGGACTGTTTTGTCGTCTTCGGATCCGATGTAGGCGATTTTAGATCCCTCGACGATCATGCACTCTCGATACGAGTCATCGTCGCCGACGAAGCGGCCATTTGTGAGAATTGTTGGAGACATTATTACACCTGCAGATGATAAGAAAAAGAATAGAGCAAGAAAATGTTACGAAGATGAAATGTAACGAAATGGAATTACAGGGTCTTATCAATATGAGGGGAATCGAGACTATGATGAAAGCGGCAGCAATCTGGAGATGGAGGGTTCGGCGCGTCCACCTTCTAAATGGGTTGACCTGCTGAAAGCGCGAGGGTTTGAACTTCCAGGCGTGTCGACCTGCTGGAAGGGGTTTAGATCGGCGGGGAGCTAGGGGGCCCGGGAGGCTTGACAGTCGACTTCGCCTAACTTAAGAGTCTGGGGCTGCTGTTGATTGGGCCTTGGGGCGATGAGAATTGAGACGAAAGTAAATCGAGGTGGGAAACGCCGTATGGGTTCCGCGGAATACGCTGCGGGGAAGAGTTTGGCTTTGGGGAGTCTTTTGATACCTTTGATTAAGGCTTAGATCTATATTGCGGGACACGAAAATGAATTTGATTGAGGCTACTCCGTAGTGATGCTGAAGTTCACCGAAGGTTAGGTTACATCGCCGTTTCGGCTCCGAAGCCCGGATTTCTCCACTCTCCAGATTTTATCAACTTACGGAAAAAGCCACTCAGACAATAATGGATCGGATTCCGACTACAGACTCTCCGCCCAGCAGCCTAACACAGCCAGCGCCACTGATCGAAGACTTACTTTTCGAAGGAGAAGATGATCAAGATTGGGGCGATTTCGTCGACTCCGATGAAGAGCCCGATGTCGAATTTGCATGTGAAAATATCAACTTCTACCCTAGAGGTTTATGCTATTCAACCTCAATCGGTGAGATTATCGTCGAGCGATATCGCATCATCCATAAACTTGGCCATGGCGCTTTTTCAACGGTTTGGATGGCGCAGGATATGCTGGAAAACAGAGACGTCGCGCTCAAGATCTTGATGCTGAGGAATCCCGACGACCGTGATTATGACATGCAGAGCGAGATAATTGGCAAAGCAAAAGATTTGACCTATCTGTTGGTCTATCATCGAACATTTCTGCTTACCAGTCCTCATGGCCAACACCGCGTCTTTGTATTTCCTCTCCAAGGACCAAACTTGAGAAATCACCCACCCAGAAAAGCCCCCATTGCTACAAGGATGGCATTTGCAGCACAATTACTCCAGGCCTTGAAGGCACTACACGAGGCTGGAATAGTTCATTCGGGTACAGCCACACAATCCCAAGTGAGGAAAATCTAACTCATGAACAGACTTAAACACTGCCAACATAATGTATACCTTTCGGTCCCTCAACAGTAGTATATCTGAAAAGTACAAGCAAATCGGGCGACCGAGGAAGATGAAACTATGGACTGAGCAGTGGAAAGATGGCGAACTGGTAATGCCAATGAAGCCAAAAGAGGAACTTATAGGAGACTCCATTGTCCTTGAAGACTTTGGTCTTGCTCATAGAGCTGGTGCTTCGACTCAAAAGATGCAGTCACCTGCTACCTACTGCGCTCCTGAACGGGTACACAACATCAGCCCGTCGTATGGCTCTGATATTTGGAGTTACATGTGTATCTTCTTTGAACTATACACAGGATCGTATCTGTTTCAGGGCTGGGGACATGCATCAGTGGTGTCATCTATCGTTCATACTCTTGGTTCCCTTCCAGACTCTTGGAAGGGAGCATACCACATCGGTGGCTCGGGTGAGGATAAGTGGTATGACAAAAATGGGCAAATAGATCCAGAGTTTGATCTGATGGAGAGGCTCACTCAGCTTCGCCCTGATGTTGATGTAAGAGAACTGGAGCTGGTAGTGGCGATACTACGAAGGGGTCTTGTCTACCAACACGAGAAACGGATCACAGCAGCAGAGCTTCTAGAGAACGACTCATTCGAGAAACTTATGAGTATCTATACACAATAAGAGGGACTCGACTCTCAGAGCTTCAAGATAGTATCACTCCTTTGTACTATCAGGCTATCTAATTCCGACGGCCTATTAGAGTGCACCCATGATATTGTAGTGGGCTATTGGCTAACGCCGTGTCGTTCCCGATGTCTGTATAATGTGAGACCCTGATGTTGAAGGTCACTGAATGGTAGGTTATATCGCCTTTTGGGGTGTGGGATCTGGACTTTTCTGACTCTACACCTCTTAGATTTTATTAACCTAGGGAATAAGCCACTAGACATAATCATAAACCCTTATTTCAACTATAGATACTCTATCTAGTAGCTTAACACAGCCAGGGCTACTAATAGAAAAGCTAACACTTGACAGAAACGAAGCTGAGGACTGGGGTAATTTTATTGACTTGGACGAAGTACCTGATGTCGAATTCACCTGCGAGGATATGATATCACGGTATGCTCATGCCTCTTCGTCATCCACGACCCTTTATCAGCAGGCCTCACCTTCTCATCGTGGGTCATAAAAAATCTGAAATCATGGACGATTCTGCATCCGGTTTGTTGTGTGCACTATGGTCACTTTTCGAATGCACAACTCCGGACTCCCCTCGGCTGGTGCTCGGCCCGACGACACAAGTTTCTCTTTTGCAGTCAAGCAATTAATGATGCTTACGCTTCAACAACAGTCGTATTCAGTTCATTCTCTGAGACGCGACTTCCCACTTCACAACCTAATTGTACATTCAATTTCAATCCTTAAGCCTTGCCTTGAGCATCGCTTAACAATTTAATGATCTCGCTCAGCATCTAGCTGCACCTCATCCGTCAAACAGCTCAGTACCTTCGTCTCGGTAATTTGAATGCTCTCATGTTGAATACTCTGAACCAATGCCTCTATTAACCTACTAAGCAACATTGCGGATATCAACTATCAGATTACCATTGCCCCAAGCGGGGTTCTGGCCCTTGACCTTGCCATCACCACGAGAGCAGTTATCCATGATTTGTCCCGCACCTCGAGCAACGTCCTGGCTGTTACTCAAGTCAGCAATGGCTTGTCCCAAATGAACTGCACCAGGCTTACCAAGAGGACGTCGAACTTCCGCCGTTAACAGCTATACCAGTAATCTGGGTGTTCCCGCGCCGGCAGAAATTGGTGCCGGACACCGTACCGGTGCATGGCTGACCTCCAAGGCCGGCAAGGTAGTTGATGCAATCGACCGCTTCATTAACCTAACCGAGAGCGAGTCAGATGGTTTGAATCATTATATAAAAAGTTTTGAAGGGCGACGAAGGCGTACATTGGCGAATGCGCTTGCAGGCAGATTGTCTAAGCAGCTAACAGCAAGAGCTGTCCTAGCAACACTGAGGAGAACAGTAATAGACGTGATCGGTTTGACCATTTTGTTATTGGTAGGAAGTGATATACTTTTGCGCGGCAGGTAGTTAATGATGAATGTGCTGAAGAGAGCAGCAGACGTATAGGTCAGGGCGGACAGAGGCGCGTCCTTTTATTCTTTCCTCTCTAGTTACGTCGCACAGTCGCCAACCATCCCAGACAAAACTCCGTAAGCTCGTCCTGTGCTTATAAGATGTGCCTTAATGCATAGTAGTATTCACAGTCGCTATCCCTCGTGTTATCTCTTATTAGCCATTGGTCAACTCACGGCGCACCAGCCACCTACCTGCAAACCACTATTCCATGGACGGCAGTAACATAATAGCACACGCTTCGACCTCCGTCCATCGTTCGACCTGGTCCATGAGATCTACAGTCGTTACCGGAACTGCCGGATTGACACACGAGGTGAATGTGACACGAATGTATGGAATAGGGTCGCGTCGTAGTGTTGGGCAAGCATAGTGTCTGTAGATCGCTGGTAGGTTCGGGCTTAGGGCATGCAATGAAACCTGATAGTTACTCGAGGTGGAGGAAGACAGGACCCTGTTGGCCCGCTTGAAATCATGATCGGCCTCTGCAGCTTGTCTGGACGTTCCATAGCCCTAAGGAAGAGGGGCCGAGGACTTTAGACTGTGTCCTTAGATCTAGCGCACGGTTCTGGTCGAAGTGCTATTTCCCATTTCAACGGTCTGTATCATCCATGCCATTCATTCCCGCTTGTCATCGGTGATGAGCCAAGAGCATAGCGATGGTACATCTTGAGTAAGTATTAGTAGAGACCCCGTTGATCGAGGGCCGGACCTGCACCGATGCGGGAACTCTCACACGGATCGGCTTGCAATTAAAGATAAGCTTGTAGCCAAGGAGCCCTGCCGGTACAGACCTGATAAAATCCGATTGGATCAGGAATACGAGAAATCCTGCGGATGACACTGGCTGTTTCATTGGTTACTCTCACTTTTAGCTGAACTCAAAACCGACTGGAACTCGGGGTCTACTGCGGAATTTCCTCAAAGCTCGAAGTAGCTCGAAGAAAGAAGACGTTTATACAGTATCAATCAAGGATATTTGAAGTTAACCTATGTCGTGGCTAAAATTGCGTCTTGTATTTTAGGAAGTATATGTCGATGATATCTGGAGTGATGCTCGGCACATTCATTTGCAAGCCAGTGTCATTTAGAAAGTGGGATCAATAACAGACGATAAAACACGAAGTAAGAGTTTTGTATTCTTCTTGACTCTAGCTGGGAACCCAGAAGAGTTGCGTGGCACTCCCGCCCTAAGATTGACGTGCCTCGTCGTCAGAAGCTTCTCCCAAACAACTGACTACCCACAACGGGTATCTCTCCCTCAAAATGGCGGCTTCAGAGACCCCGGCTTCACTAACAGACGTCACTATTTCTATTTCAAATGGCTGACGGCGGCTTTATCTCCTAAATGCGTGTAGATCTTTGGAGTGTCACTCGCCCCACTCATAGGTTTTGACCACTCCAGGGGTACATAAGGTTTGAGCCAGGAAGAAATCTATGTCATCGTGCACCTCAGACGCATCCCGTATCTGCGATGTTTTAATTTATTAAATTAAGCATATCGCACAGCAGAATGAGGCCTCCCATGAAACCTTATCTTGAGTCGCCTACCATTAAAGAGGAAAGGAAGGCTATCCTAGCTAGTCATCGATTGAACGAGCATGGGATAGTCTATCGCGATTATGGAAGAGCTCCGGCGAGTATTCTACACCACGTTACCCCTGTTAGCGAGATGGTACATGAAGGGAATCACACGAAACGCAATTGATTGATAGCCCCCAGGTTGATGGGTGCAAGAAGGAGCCAGGAATACTGGGGTTTGAGTAATGCAGTGTAGCATTATACTGTGATAAGGTTAGGGGTTTAAAAGAGGCTCCAGCCCCCAGGGCACAAAAGTAAAGGACACCAATAAACACATACAGGCAAAATACTCCAAGCCGTCACTGTTGCCTAGGAGTGTAGCATTATACAGCCGTAAACGTTATTGGTACTTGCAAAATGAGGTGAATTGAGAGGAGGGTCACCCAATAGAGACGGAGAGGATTACCGAAAATAAGTATGTTGCCGATATTTCCCCTCTTGCAATATAGGAGCGGCGCAAAAGGCCGAGAGCTACGAAACTTTACATGCCGTCTAGGTTTAGTTCTGCAGGACATGCCACACAAATTAAACCTAGAGAAGGTAAACAAGCTTTATCGCTAAGTCAGACCCTGCGGTCGCTTCGTTCCGTCCCTCGAGCGTCGATGAGCAGTCTAGGTACTGATTAGCGCCTCGGAACGGTCACTACTAGCCACATGTCGATGGACCTGATTAGTTGACCTGAACGTGACCCACTCCAGATCTGCTTCTGGCTTCGTTGCCGAGCTTGCGTCTACTTCCCGGCTATTTCGGACACCCAAGTTGCTGGCCGCCGTGATCAGCACATATTCGAAGTTCATGCCTCCTCTTGGTAGCACCTGACACACCCATTCGGATCCGTCGGAAGCCTTGATAGGATGATGGGAAGGTAGATGGCCAAGTATTGCTGTCGAGTGATGACTATCGCCCGTCTGCCCCGCCAATGGCTCGCCCAGAGCCTTAAGCTAGCAAGTATCGACCAGTCCGACCAGAAATGGGGCGCTTGTGGGGGACCTCGCATATCTCACGACTAATTCTATGGACAAACCTCACAACCAAAGGTGGAGTCTTATCGCCCAAGTCTGGTTTCTCTACATTCCATTGGCGATGAGGTATCTTCCCCGGATATGTTCTGGACCCAGAACGAGCAACTTATCTTCGTGCAATGCATGAGACTGTCAGAATGTGTGCTGGAAACGGGCAGGCAATATTATCGTAAGAGTGATCTTGGAGAGCTAACAACGCACTGGGCCCTAATCTTAGCGCACGGGTTCCTGCGCTAATTTTAGTGGACTCGGGGCTTCCCGCCATGACCTCAGCTTTAGCAAAACAATTCCTGGGCGGGAAGCCATGCACAGAGGCAATGTGTGAGGGAAGCAGGGCCGATCTAAATTTCGGCGCCGTCACAAATAAGCTATGACCATGGAGTCTCAGACCCCACTGTGACGGTTGCACCTAACATGGTAAAAGATTGGGCTGTAACAGCTACTGTGAACAGTTACAGTAGTGTCTAAAGCCATCTATAGAACCCTTATAACGCTATGACGAGCAATAAGAGGGGCTAGACTCTCAGAGCGTCAATATAGCATCGCTCCCTTCCATTATTAAAATCTAATTCCGACGGCCTGTTAGAGTGTACCCGTGACATTGTAGTAGGCTATGGTCCAGTGCCGTGCCGCCCCTGATGTCCCTACCCTATAAGACTTGAGCCAAGACACGGGCCAGGGGAAGGGTTGCGGGGACAGACAAAACCCATTGAAAATAAAACGACCCACTAGTCGAACAGGAACCCGTCACCGTCGGTGGATTCTTCTACCGCTTCATCGGGTGTCGGGTATTCTGAAAGCCGACACCTATGAAGGCGCAAGCCCTGTCGCCGGATAAATAAACCAAGCATGCGAATCAACTGTAGTCTATAACACTCACCGGATTAATCATACAACGCAATATGCAGACACCCAAGCCCTTCATTCTCTTCTTCAGTCCAGTCAGGCACGCCAAGGCAGCATTCGAACAGCTGCACGAGGTTGCGAGAGTCGGCGTAGTCACCAGCACTAACAGGCAAGAATTCTTCAAAGATGTTCAAGATAAATATAAGGACATTCAGGTGATTTACAGAACATCAGCAAGCGGTGCCGTGAGTATCTCTTTTTCATTGTGCTTTTATTCGCATGCTGACATGCTACAGGTCGCGGGGAACTTTGACGTCGAATTCATTCAACATCTTCCATCAAGCTGCAAGTTTATCTGCCACAACGGAGCAGGCGAGTTCATAAGTTCTCATAGTATCGAAAATTATGTTACTAACAGTTCGTCAGGATACGATCAAATTGACGTCAAGGCTTGCGCAGATCGAGGAATCACCCTCACCTACGCGCCTGACCCGGTCACCAATGCCACAGCCGACTTGGCTCTCTGGCTACTACTTGGATCGTTAAGACAGCTCAACCCATCACTTGGTTCTTTGCGCCGGGGAAACTTCAAGAAGGGCATTGATTTCGGCCGCGATCCACAGGGCAAGGTTCTCGGTGTCTTAGGAATGGGTCGAATTGGCCGTGCCCTCAAACACCGATGCGAACCACTTGGTATCATCACGCAGTACCATAATCGCTCAGAACTGCTTCCTCAGCAAGCAGCCGGCGCAAGATATGTATCCTTCGAACAGCTCATTTCCGAGAGTGATATAATCAGCATCCATGTTCCACTCAGCACTGCGACAAGGCATCTTATAGGTGCCCAAGAGATAAGATGAAAGATGGCGTCATCATCGTCAACACAGCCCGAGGTGCTGTTATTGATGAGAATGCACTGGCTGAGGCACTGGATTCAGGGAAAGTTGCGTCTGTTGGTCTGGATGTTTTTGAGCATGAACCTATGATCAACGAGCGTCTTTTGAAGAACGAGAGGGCTCTTCTTGTGCCGCATTTGGGAACACATACAGTAGAGACTCTGACTAAGATGGAAATGTGTGCTATGGAGAATGCGCGGCGGGCTGTTTTGGGGGAGCCTCTTCTTACACCTGTTCCAGAGCATGCTGGGCTCCAACCTACAATCTCTTGATCGCTTAGCAAATACACCGAACCTATCAGGGTCTATAGAACAAGGCAGATTGAAGGGAGACGCGCGTTTGTAAGCTTTCAGATTGTTTAGGCGAAGTAATAGATTGGGAGACCTTTCAAGTTGGCTAGAGTCTTGGAAGTATAACAAGTCGCTGAGTTTATCTGAGTAACGCCGGAAAAGCAAATTGCATTCAATCTCAATCAATTGACTCCTCATAAAATTAATTCGTTCGTTTACATACATGTTGCATAAGATGCTGAGCTAAACGGTGCATTGTTTGAGTCGCCATTTGACGGCTGCCCCAAGTCCGACAAAGAAAAGAGTAGCCAATGTGACCATGGCCGTCCGATCCACAAACGCCGGGCGATAGATCAGCCGAACAAAAGGCCCATGGCGATCGGTATAAACCTTTGCCGACCTGACGTTCCAACTGAACTAAATGTTGACTCGCATCGTCGTAAGGTATTGGCTATAAAGCCATGTCTGTCTTCAGGGTTCATGCACTACATAATCAGATACTTTCTCAAAACAGTACTCCATAACACTCAACCGCCATGACAAAGATCGCTCTTCTCGGTGCTGCCGGTCAGATTGGGACCCCTCTGAGTCTCCTCTGCAAAGCTGTAAACAGTCTGCACATTCACATATGGCACAAACTCTGACAGCGAGAATAGAGCAATCTTTTTACAGAAATCGCTCTCTAAGATATTGTCCATACGCCCGGCATTGCCACCGATCTCAATCACATCGATACCAAAGCGACTGTTTCTGGCTATTTACCTTCCAACGATGGTTTGGCCAAAGCACTCAGCGGAGCCGACATTGTCGTTGTCACTGCTGGGATTGCTAGGAAACCAGGAATGACTCGAGATGGTAAGTCACTCATCGCAAATCATCTTACTAGAGCTTGCCACTAATCAGCATCCTAGACCTCTTCAATGTGAGAGCTCTCGGCCCTTTTGATTCAGCAGCCTGCTCACAAAGTTCTTAAGACCAACGCCTCAATCATTAGAGACATCTTTACCCAGGTTGCAAAGACCTGCCCCGAAGCAATCTCATGTATTGTTACCAACCCGGTAAACTCAACAGTTCCTGTTGCAGCCGAGACTTTGCGTGCAGCAGGTGTCTTTGATCCTACGCGTCTTTTCGGCGTGACTACTCTAGATGTCGTGCGCGCGTCGACCTTTGCTGCACACGCCCTTGGCGGCGACGCAGACCCTACCAGTATCAAAGTCCCTGTTATCGGTGGCCACAGTGGTGCTACCATTCTTCCTCTCTACAGCCAGGCCCAACCGCCCATTGACCTCGGCGCTGAACTCCCCAATGTTATAAACCGTATGTTCTTAATTCTTCAAACCCAACCGAGATAGCTGACGAGTCACAACAGGCGTGCAATTTGGAGGTGATGAAATAGTCAAGAGCAAGCAAGGAGCCGGCAGCGCCACGACTTGCATGGCTTATGCGGGTTTTAGATTTGTCAAGGCCCTTCTTACCGCAAGGTCTGGAACTCCAGTCGTGGAAGAGGCTTATGTCTACCTGCCGGGGATTACTGGAGGAAAGGAGATCTCGACCGAGCTTGGAGTTGACTACTTCTCCGTTAAAGTGAAGCTGGGTCAGCGAGGAGCAGAAGGGTTACTCCCCATCGGGAACTTGTCAGACGGGGAAAAGATCCTCCTTGGAAAGGCAGTGGAAGAGCTGAAGGTGAACATTCAAACTGGTTTATCATTTGTAGCTGGAAAATAAGTATCGCTTTTTGACCCTTTAGATGGTTGGCTGCTCGTATATCGGCTGTGCATGTACAAAAGAGGCGAAATGATCAGGATCACTTTTAAATAGACAACAAATTAATCAACGAAGCTTTGCTTCTAGCCTTTCATATCTGGCATAAACAAGAACAAAACATAGTATTTCTCTATGCTACCACAGAAACTGATCTTTGAAGTCTGCTGGTAGTTCGATCCTAGAAGAGGTAGTGATATCTTGCACCGCATGCGTCTCACATGCTGGTTGTATAGTATCTACCGACTCAGTCCTCTGAGGTGGTTGACCTATTGAGTCTTGATCGACTGCATGGTCCCGGTAAGGATCCCCAACCGCCATATCATCCCCAGCACCAGCAGGACTCTGAACCTCATCCTCATGCTGATAATCGGCATTCCCAGAAGAGCTCTCCGCTCGCAAAAGTCCCCGCATATTCTCATTTGACTGATGTGTACCCTCGTCTTGCATCGCGGAGGTCTTGCTGACCTCCCTAATCCACTGCCTAACGTCATCAGCTGTCCGCAAGGGGAACCGCTCCCAATGGTCCATTAGGGTTAGCATTTTATGTTCGCCTATACCTGATGACTTAAGCTCGGTGCTTCGCTCGCCCAATCGCTTATGAGCTAGTTTTTGGGTGTCCTCATTAAAGGCACGAGCTACCAAACCCTCGTCATTTGTTGCCTGTAGGAGCCGTATGAGAACCAGTTCAGTCTCCGCAAGCCGCGCTTCTAAAGCTTTCGTATACCCCTTGGGCGGACCCCTGGATACTATGAGTATCTTCGCTCTTCCATGGCGTGTGTTTAGAATACCTACCGCTTCAGGACTGTTGGCCAAGTACACTGCAGGCCAAGGCTTCTACATCTTGAGCATGCTGGCCTTCTAACATCAGCACTTGGTTGTTTGGATATTGCAAATTGTTAACATACCTGATCCCATCACACTGTACAGTAATAGTTCCTATTAGCAACTCGCATGATCATCGTAGACTATTTCTTCTTTGCGGCTTTATCTTACCTTTTGCTTTCGCGATCGGCAGGTCTTACATGCTGCACGGCCTCTTGCTGGGGACATGGTTGCTATGTACTTTCGCCCACCGTTGGCTATAGTTATAAAAATAACTGGTGTCGCAACTGGAACGTCGGTAGAAATTATTGCCTAGACGAGTGAATGGGGGAAAAGATGGGGTTTATGGAGTGGCGAATGGCTTGAGCCATTAAACTTCGTGACCGTGACGCGACGGTTAAAGGTTTCGCCGATGCACCAACGAGAAATGTACTAGCAGCAGGTATATAAAATAGTGATAATTATATAATAACCGTGGTATTGATGCAATCAATTGAAATAAGGCTTGTCTCCCTCTTTTTGAGTCTCATTCGCATTGGACTGGTCAGAAAAAGGCACTATCCCAGGTAGGATCATCCTCATTAATACCTCCCAGCAGTGATTCCCACGTAATGCCGGCCAACAGGTCTGGCATTCCGCTCTCCCAGTTAATTATTCTGCCTGGATCACCAAAATATTGAAAGTCGTCCTCAATTGTCGGACCCGTGCCATTGTTAGGCTCAAAGCTGCTGCCCGGTGGCTCGTCCATGGACGTATTGACGATATCCGCAGGAAATTGAATGGAAGGCTGAGCAGATCCATCATTTCTTTGGCTTGATTCTGTATCTAGCCTTGCTCTTTTTCTGGAATCGTTTTGATAATTCATAGCAGAAGATACCGAGTCCCTACCTGAATGTACAGAATCGAAGGTAGAGTCTGAGGTATCAAATGCCGGTCTCTTCGCAATATGCTCCATCTCCTGGATAGCCTCTGCAAGGTCAGACAGAACAGCATGACAATTCTTTGCAAGCTTCCATCGCTCGGACATATGAAGTAAGGCGTCAAGGCACATACCAATCTCCCTTCACTGTGTCAGTATAGGCGTCTCAACTTCGATAGCAGTATATAGGTCAAGTTGCCGTAGGACATTTCACAAGAAGTAGGGTAGTCCATTGAACAGGGGACCAAGATAATCCGCAGTTCTCTCACCTTTTGCCTTTCTCCGCTGAATAGAGCCGCAGTTGGCATGCAAAGGCCAGAACGATTCCAGCCATCCACGTAACAGAGAGATAGCCCGGCCAGAAGAGCGCATACCCTGCATTGTGCTGCTTGCTTGTGATCTTGATAATCTCTCGCGCTTCGCTAATGCAGATTTGGATGGCAGATTGAAACTCTGGTGTGGATGGCTCTAGAGACAGCCTGGGACGATGGATTAGGAGTACTAATTGGCTGTGAAGTAGGATGAAGTGCGCTGACTCATTGAAAACCTGACTTTGGTTTCTGTCAGTAGTATCACAAAAGGAGGGATCGAATTCTTGTAGAGATGAAGGTAGTGCATTCCAGAGTGCGTTTATGTCTGTTTGAAGTGAGAGGATTGACCCGCTGTCAATGGATCGAATGTGAAGAGATTTGTGGAAGAGTTCCAGGGCGCGACCAAGCAGACGCGAATATTGGACCTGAAATGATAAGCTCGAATGGCGATTCTGCTTCTGACTAGATTCATCCTCGATTGTTGCCCTGCCGAGACCCGTTTCACTTTGTCGACCCGTGATCGTGGCATCCACGGACATCGCTGAGAGCCCAGAAAAGGGTGAAGCCACGCCACTATGACTTGAAGGGACAGTCGGATAGAGCAGAGGATGGTGAAGCTCAGGTCCACCCAGAGGACAGACATCTATATCAGAGTCTTGGATTCCTAACGGGTGTCCAAGAGCCTGAGAGAGATATCGATCAAAGACATAGATACTCCAGAACAGCCTTTTCCTAATATCGCATTCATCCGCCGTAAGCTTTCCGTAACGGCAAGGACACCGATGAAGCCCTGCCAGAAAGACAGCGCGGGATAAAAGACCACTGACAACCGAGGCTGCACGGAGCGACATGCGAGCTACCAGGAGGAGACCAGCGGCAAAAAGCGCTTGGATAGAAACAAGATCTCCCTTGACTGCAAGGCTGGGGAGATAGGAGAGAAGATCGGTAGGCTTTTGGATCTCGGATGCGACAGGCAGATGGCTGCTGTTATGCAGGCTTGCGAGGTTGAATATACACTGCAGAATAACTACTTTTGGAAGTGTTATTGGGACCCTCGGAGTGATGGGCTCTGATGCCGTGCCATTCAGGTCAAAAGAACTGTACAAATCCTCCATATTCTTGAGGATACTCGGACCGTGTAAAAAGGGGAAGAAGCGATGCCACGTCTGAAAATACGTCATGAACAGCTGTTTTGCAACGTCCGGTTGAGGCGGTCTGCCAAGTCCAGCGGGTATCCCATGGCCGTAAGAAAAGGAAGACGGCAGTAAAGAGGCATCCGCGTCGGGTCTTTGCTGTTCATCCTCGCCGTCCGCAACGATGCACTCCTCAGGAGTCGGGTGCGTGGTATCGAGAAGACGAGACGACAGCCGCGAGTTGGCGTTCACGAAGGCTCGTCGGACTGTGTTTACGAAATAGATCCCACTGGAGCTGCCAATGAATTGACTCTTGCCCTTCTCTAGCGTGCGAAGAGAGCCCCGTTCTTGGACGGCTTGTGGCAGAGTAGGGGTGTTGCTACTGGTCGTGTGCGACATGACATATTCTACAAGGGCTGAGTGTTATACGGTATCTAGATGATGTGACCTGTTGCAAGTTCCTACAGCGGCAGATGGCTCAAGTTTCACGGGTCAGTGTTGATCCGTGGAACCCCACTGCGCTAACTTTGACCATGACGGTGGCTGGGCCAGAGAAATGTACTAGTGGAGGTCCTGCGACCCGGTGTCAAAGAATGTCTCTATCAAACGAAGAGATATGAAGTTTGAAGCTCATTCAATACTCCTGTAGCAAGGAATATTTGAGCACCTTGCTCACTTATTGCCAAGCGCAAGCTGAGGATGCCTGATTTACTCTACACCTGGTGCAGAAAAAGCGTTTATATCTGCCCGAATCAGGTCCGTCCCATGTACTGTACTTGTCTCATCTCCGAAGTCTCTGATGCAAATGTTCCAGGATTACAACGGGTTCAAGCCATCGTATTAGTTTGGCACGGTTTGGGGCTGCATCCCATACATGCTGTTGGCTTTGCGGTTGTAGCAAGCAGGCATAGGTGTGTGCAGAGCCCGTGCCCGACTCGAAGCGCTCGGGGGAGGACTGCCTAAGAGAAGAGGTTATCTATGATTAAACGATGGGTCCTGGCCCAATCGTGACTGTGAGTCGTTTGCAAATTTCTGGATATGGGAGCTTCTCCCAGGCCGCCTGGGGCAGGGCCGTTCAAGGTCCCAAAGTTCTCGTCACCGTAGACAGCAGATGCTTTTTTTTCTTGGACAATTGAACTAGTGCTCATCATTTGGCTTTAAAGGGATGTCTATAGAGATTCGGTCGAAATGCCCGCCGGGATTGCATGACGGAGGCGGTTCGATGTGCTATTGTGAAGAACGTGCTTTCGTCGGATAAATGGCTGTCCCAATGCATCATCGTTCACTGCCCAGGCTGATATCTGACCGCAAGCCCCAAAAGTCTAGAAATAAGGTAGCTAACTTCTCCACAAGTGACCCACTAGAACTTTTGCGAATAAAATCTCCCGATCTCGCAGTGGCTTTGGCTACTTGGGCTCGGACCGTAGCCGAGTGGGTCAAATCGGTAATGTCAAGATCCCGACCCGGCGATGCTGCCGAGCATGGCAAATTGCCGCCGCCGTTCGATATGTTGGTGATAAAACTCGATAAATTTAAATATCACTGAAATGCCGTGACACAGCCTTACAAATGCTATAATATCCAAGACAACACACTTGTACAATCATGAGGGGCTCTACAACAAAAACTCCACCCTTTGGAGTCTATACCCCGGTCGTTGCCTTCTTCAACGACGACGAAAGTATCAATTACGACGCTATAACACAACACGTTAGCAGACTGGTCCAGGCTGGTGTGAAAGGACTCGTTGTTCATGGTAGCAACGGAGAAGCTACCCACCTATTGTCCGATGAACGAACTCAAGTTATCCGGCATATTCGTGGTTTGGTTTCCAAGTTAAACAGCGATGTTGTAATTATCGCCGGGTGCAGCGCAAACAGCGTGCTGAAGACTGTTCGTCACATCCAAGCTGCCTGCGATGCGGGCGCAGACTTTGCTCTTGTGCTGCCTCCAAGTTACTGGAGTGCGGCCATGAACAAACACGTCATCAAAGCCTTCTATCTCGGGGTACGAATAGCTTTCACTCACCGGCATTACATACGTTAACATTATTATAGGTTGCTTCTAAATCTCCCCTTCCCGTACTCATATACAACTTTCCTGGAGTCACTAGTGGCATCGACATTGACTCGGACCTTATTCTCGAGCTAGCCAACGAGTCATCCAACATCGTGGGTGTTAAGCTTACATGCGGCAACCTGGGCAAGCTGCAACGTATCTCAGTGTCGGTAGACCAAGAAAAATTCGCCGCTTTTGCTGGAAAGGCTGACTTCTTGCTACCCGGCCTTGTAGCTGGCTCCAACGGCGTCATCTCAGCCTTGGCAAACGTGATTCCCAGGGTTCACATTGAGGTCATTCGGCTACATACCGCCGAGGACCTTGAGAAGGCAAAGGCTATACAAGCCGAACTGTCCAAGGCTGATTGGGCTCTTCTAAAGTTTGGTATCTCAGGAGTGAAGATAGCTTGTGAGAAGTGGTTCGGTTATGGCAGCGGGAGAGTTAGGAGCCCACTTCCAAATGTGGATGTGAGAAAGCTAAGTGAAGGGGATATCAGCGCGTTGGAATCACTTGTGAAAATGGAAAAGTCACTTATGGAATCGGCGAAGCTATAGCCTTACTGTTTGTGCACAGTCCCAAGCAAGAAAGCGCATACTGTTGACTTGGTGGGCTTGGAATAGGGAATATTTATGGAATTTGGGTTAGATTTCGACTCGTTTCTCGTTGTTCTTCTATTACTAGCAAGATATTGTATATAGACGCCCAGCTCAGCTTGTCCACACCTATCAAGTCCAAGTTGTAACAATCTTTGGCTATTGAAGAGAGAGAATTATGGGAATGGTATCTAGGTTTATGTGAGTGATTGAAATGGATGACTGCGATAACAAAAAGACTTTCGCTATAGTGATTATACCTTTGTAGATAACCTAAACAGAAGCTTCCGGGTCAAAACCACCTTTCCAGTTTCAGATTAGTTCCCGATGCCGTCATCATGCCGGGATCACGGATTTCATTTATCCGGCTCTCGATCTAAGCTCAAACCCTACCAATGGGTCAACTTCGGCCATGAATTCCACGCTCCATCTCATAAACTTGTATTGCCAGTAGATCAACTCACCGACATCTGGACAGGGACCTCGTCTCCTAATACATATGAGCAGAGTCTGCTAATATCATATGGACCAACAATCACAGAATCGCCACCGCCGGCGTCGTCGCGTTGCAGACACCAGCAGGAAGCGCGCAGCCAGAGCGTAGGCACTTCTCACCACACGCTTAACTATTTATAAGAGAGTGCTGGCTAATCTTTGTTCAAGTTGCGATCGCTGTAAAGCAAGGAAGAGTAAATGCATCGAAACACGCCCGGGCTCATGCCAGCGATGCCAGGCCAGCAATCTCAGCTGCCACTTCGAAAAGTGTGTACTTCTTGTCATCGCCTTAGCCCAAGACTTATTGACGTAATGCAGGGAGAGGATTCCTTCATCAGACAGCGAGACTTCGACACCTCGACCTGTTGTAGTTCAGGATGAAATCTTGGACGGACCCGAGGAAAACATCACGATTGATAACCGTATGTTACATTCCTGTCCATGCTGGCAACCTCTGCTTACCCATCAAGATCCGACAGAAAGTATACTCTGGCCTAGCTTTCTTTCTAAGTTGAAGCAAGCTTTCTTCGTGGACTCTGTGCCCAATCCCGAAGAACAGGAAGCCGTCGTTACGCACGCGGTTTGTTTAAGGATTCGTTTGTCTAATCACTTGCTGACATCTCTAGCAAACCGCCCATACCAACCGCCTTTCGGACAGCGAGTATGCACGCTTGAAATCCGTAGTTGACTCTTTTCCCCCACGACCTGTGGCCGACTTTTTGGTGTCAGTGTGTATCAGACATGGTGTTGACATATTCTTCTACTTTGATCAAGCTCAAATCATAGATGAGATTGCCCAGTTCTACACCAACAGCTCGTCACCACTTCGAACCGATCCAAGCTTTATATGCCTAGCACTCGGACTATTCGCTCTGGGAAGTAACTGGACACCTCTCGAGAGGCCGATCGACTCTCCATTGCCTCACGGCGACGACAGTGATCTCGGCCGAGTCTTTTTTAGACAAGCCAAGCTTTTGATACCCGATGTGATCGAAAGGACGGACTTGAAAGCGATTCAAGCTTGCTTTCTTCTTGGTATATATCTCATGCCTCTAAATGCCGCCGGTTCCTCCTATGTCTACATGGGTATGGCGTTGCGAAAGGCATTAGCTTTTGATCTGCATCAGAGCCCGGATGATCAGACAATTGATGACCGGGAGAAGGAGATTCGGTGCCGGCTCTGGTGGTCAATATATTCACTCGAACGGTACGTGAACTCATAGCATTCGACTGTCAATGACCTTGTTTCTAACAACCACGTAGCTGCACAACTCTAAAGTTAAATCGTCCTCGATCTGTCCCCGCAACCATCATAGGAATACCATTGCCTTCTCCGATGCCGTCTCTCGACAGGGACCAGAAATTCGAAAATCTCGAGCTCCAGATAGCCTATGCGCGCCTAATGCTGATCCTCGATGGTTACTCAGACTCAACGTATGTACCCTTAATAGACAGATTCACAACTAATTAGCAGCAGTAGTTGGCTTACAAACTCCTCGACACCAACCGATTCAAACAAAATCCAAGCTGAACTAAGGAGCTGGAAACGGTCTTTACCAGAAGAATTTGACTTGGAGGATACCGATCCACGCAGCTCAAGATACCGAGCAATTTTTCATCTCTATCTTAATTATTACTATGCTTGGATCGTTATTGGAAAGGCCTCTCTAATCATGACAGTAAGGACAGATCTTCAACGTCACCTTAGTCGAGGTTCTGAGCCCCGTCCAGTCGATCAGACTGCCAAGAATCTGTCCGCTTCCTGCACTAGAGCAGCCAAAAAGCTACTCCAGTTATTCGAGAAACTCGTTCAATCCGGAAACTCTGCTCGATTCTCATTTACCGACTTTCAAGGGTGCAGCATTGCAACTATCATTACTCTTATTTCAGGCATCCTTCAGCGTGACTCTACGTACGATACCAGGGTGAATTTTGGCCTCAACTGTCTACGGCAGATGGTGAATGGGAACCCAGCCGCCACAGTAGGCGTTAAATTCGTGGAAACACTGCAGTCCATTTCTGACCAATCGGCTCGAAAACTGCGCCAGTCGGGCACTTTCACTGATACACATGAGCGGGAAGAGGCAACGTCGCCCTCAGCGTACAACAACTGGGCAGACTGGCTTGCGGCACAGGAGCCGTCGTTCAATCAAGCATACTCGGTACCGGCAAGGGAGACAACTTCTGGGAATGAACCAGTAGGAGGAACACCGTCGTTATGGCCAGTCTCGATCACCCTCGCAGAGAGCTGGAGTGGAGACTTACATCCAGGGGATGCGGCTTCCTCTACACAGAGACCATCGATATCAATGCCTAGCGGGATGTCAGCGTTGGATGTATTGGGTAGTGACCATCCTTCGACTCTGTATCATGATGACCAGAATTTCCTGATGGGCCTCACTGGCTTAGACGTTCTGGACTTTGCTGGGTACTCATCGTAACCAAGAGTCAAATAAGGTCATGAACAGCGAGGCAGAAGAGGGAGTAACCAAGCCGTCCCGTCACTAAGGTCTTGAAAAGACGCAAGAATAACAATGCTCTTGTCTTTGAGAGCTGCTTGCAATGTAGGAGATGGCAACAAGCGGGCTCAGACCGTTACACCTGTAGCTATTATCTAATCACCATCCTCTTGAATCTTCTATTAAAATACTATTTTCACCACGGGGCCAGCTCTGGTCGTATAAAAGGATTCAATGGCAGAGAGAAACAGGCATGTCTTCACTAAAAAGGCATATTCCATAATGTGCGCGTCCAAGTCGATGACTTCCCCCATGAGAAGGGTCTGCAAGGACAGTCATCTTCGCAATTAAAATGAAAGTCTTTCCGTTACGTTGGAGAGGCTCCCACCAGGTTACTTTCTACATGATCCGGAACAACTCATGAGGTTGGTAAGATTATTCTCGTTGCCCTGTCACGACCATAAAACTAAGAGTCCAAGAGACCGCTGCCACCTACTCAGGTCGCTGATGTACCGTTACCCTCAACCCCTTGGAATCCTCCGGCATCACAGGAACCACAGTATCGCTCGTGATAACGAGATCAGCAGCGGTGGTCTCAAAGAGCTTCAAGGTTCCGATATCATCTTTCCCTTGAACTTCCTCCGTCCCGTAAACCCTGAAAAGTGCCGCCAGCGTCAGGTAGAGCTCCGCATATGCCAGATTGATACCCAGGCAAGCTCTACCACCCTTGCCGAAGGCCACTAGATAGCGGTCCAGCAAGGGGTCGTTGACCCAGCGCTCAGGCTTGAAGGTGTGAGAGTCGGGGAAGACGCGCTCGTCGTGGTGCACCAGGTTGCTGGTCATACTGAGGGGAGTACCAGGGGGAATACGCCATTCGCGATCGTCGGCGCGGTATACGAGCGTCTCGTCCGGACAGATGCGGTGCAGCCGGTGCGAGATGGCATGGCTGAGACGGACGCCCTCCTGCACCACGCCTGTCAGGAAAGGAAGACGCTCGAGCACGAGCAAGCTGAGAGGCTGCGATGGATCGAGGATCGCGGCTTCGAGCTCGTCTTTGAGCCGCGAGAGTATGTCGGGCGTGGCGAGGACGAAGTACGTCGAGACGCCGAGCGCCCAGGCCGTGGTGATGGTACCCGCCGCGACGACCACTTCGCCCTCCTGCCAGAGCCGGTCCGTGGACTTGTCGTAGTCGGAGAGCTTGCTGTTTAGGATCTCGTGGAAGATGGTGCGGCGCGTCTTGTCGTACGCGTGCATCTGGTGTGCTTGTGTGATGTCGGCCACCTGTTTCTTCACACTGGTTTGGAGCTGGGAGTAAGCGCCCATGGCCGGGCTCAGCTTGAGCAGCATGGAGTTGGGCAGCTTGCGCAGCATGTCCATCAGCCAGGGAAAGTGCTTCAGGACATGGCCGGCTTTACCGCCCTGAAGCATGGCATCTCTGAACGATGGATCAAAGTCCGCGGCCTGGAGTCGGTTCTCGCTTTTTCCAAAAGCATAGTCCTCGACGATATCTGAAGATCTGGTCTTAGTACGCACATACAATCTCTGCATTTAGCTGAGGGTTCTTACCGTTGGTGAGTGCAGCGTAGGCATCATCAAGCTTGAGAGGGGCTCCGGACTGGGCAAACTCGCGAAAGCGTCCGAGGAGTATTCCCATATTCCGGTCCACCAGTGGTTGCAGGGCACGAACGCTTTGCTTGGAGAAGTACGGCGACAGCGCCGCCCTACGGATTCGGTGCTCGTCATGGCCAAGAGTGCCGATCAAGCTCTCGTCGACGCCGAAAGACCGGGTGATCCAGTCCCATTTGTCACGCTTGCGTCCGCTGCCAGCATAGATGGTGTTGTAGAAGTCCGGATCCGCGATGTGAATCTCGTCTGGATTGATACGGACTATAGGGCCTGGTCGGGTATTAGTCCAGTTTGACTCCCTCGATTTTCATGGTGGCAAAGATGAACACTGACCATATTGCTTGTGCAATCTACCAATTTTGAAGGTGTACTCGGGCTCGGCAACCACATCGTACCAGAATTCATACCAGTATGTCCATGCTGCTAGCTTTGGGCCTGGAAACTGTGAGATTGGGCTAAGGAAGAGGCGATAAACAGTAAGGTAGAGAAAGTAGATGATAGAAAAAATGATGAGAGCCGCTGCCGCCAGCACCATCAAGGGCGTGGCCGTCTCGAAAGGAACGATGAATATCGACATGGTAGCCCAATCTTCGTTCTTTAGAAGAGACAAAGAGTAGCTGGGGAGCCCTACGGAACGGAAATGGCATCTAGCCACGGTGACATGCTGCAAGCTCTTATCGCTGAACAACAAGTCGTCTTGAGATGATGGCAAGCTCGTCTTGGACCCGTTCACGTGTTGAGCTTGATTGCTGGGATCAAAATCCCACAGCAAGTCGAAGCATGCAGCCCAGTATTGTCTCACATGAGCCGGGGCCGAGATCGCGTAGAAATCTAACCAGTCTAAGAATGGGGGTTTACCCTTGTACACAGGGGTTGATAACGGAGAAAATGCTCGTCAGCGCCGATTACAGGACCTCGGATTCGTCGGTAACTGGCCCCAACCGCCCGATAAGGTAGAGTATATGGGGTTTATGGATATGCTATTTACCCGGGGGGTCTGCGAGTGATGGCTAACCCCTCCTCCTCTGGAGAGGGGGTCGGCCGTCGAATTAGTTAGACCCCCGAGTACACGTCACTGAGGTGTTTGCGAAGTAAGGATGGAATCCTACGTCGGTTGTGTGGAGGTGCCCATCTGCTGGTAGATTCAGTGGGCCGGGCCGGGCCAATCCGTCTGCTCCACTATCCCAAACGGAAGGATTCGGTTTTTTGGAGCCTGCCGATCGGCGCTGCATTGTCGCAGGCCCCGATTAGGCAGGCGTGCCAACAGTGCGGGCGGCCTGCACTATTGGTGTCGTCTTGCCCGGAATCCTTCTGCCGAGGATCGTAGTGCCTTATCAACGTCGTCCGATGTGGCCTGCAGGCAGAGCTAATCTGCGTCAGGTAATGACATCACACATTTAGCTTTGTCCTGGATCTCTCGGCATGTCAGACGCCCCGTATGAAGCTGAGAGATGAAATTAGTTGCCGAGATACCGAGTGGTAAGCACGCCAGCTGGCCAGGGAGACTGGGCTGAATTCTTTCTCTAGAACGTGAAGGATAATCGTCAAAAGTCAGATAGCAACAATTGTGTTCTCAGATACCATCAAACATTACACCTGTACTGTACTGTCAACCTAGGCAGCCTGTCACATTATTCAAGCCCGTCGCAATGCCTCTGGAACGTGCCGATTTCGTTGGTGCCATATGGCTCACTACTCCTATTCTAGTCTTTCTGGGCTCCAAAACCCCGAGACATCTGCGCTGGATCCTCTTACTTCCTTTCGTGGGGGGTTGTCTGCTTGTGGCTTTTGCTTTTCCCTTTGGTCCGGATATTGCAAAGAATTATACCTTTGGAACAGGTTGGGCACCAAACAGAACGTTTCACTAAGTTTATATTCTAACAGCATTGTCTCTCAGTCTTTTACGTCGCGTTGGTCAACTTCAATCTTCTTGTGCTCGAAGACCCTTACTTGGAACACAAGTGGACACAACCCACAAGCGGTGGGAAGGAACGCCAACAGCCTTTTCACTCTCTCGGTGCATGGGACCGGATAAGATGGTGTTTTGACAACGCCTTTTCCACAAGAGGTATTGGATGGAACTGGCGGACTGCACCTCTACCCTCAGCTCCTGCTCCAGGCACCTCCAAGACCGCCTTCCTCAGGCTATCGATGCAAAGAATACTGCAGCAATACATGAGCCATGATATTGCTGCCGGTAGTCTTCTGTGGCTAACCCATGATGGGAAAATGAGCGTCCTTGACTTAGACTTCGTCCCCCGTTGCATCGCTACAGCCTGCTGGTGGGCCTCGTCAATTGCCGTTATGGATATCGGCTACCACGTCGCTTGCATGATCGGGGTGTCGTCCGGGCTTTTTTGGACGCGCATCGAAGACGTCCACCCAGTAAACGGACCTTGGGTAGAGTGCTACACCCTGAGCAGATTCTGGAACCGCACGTGGCACCAGAACTTCCGTAGGGGGCTGCAGATCCCTAGCAGAGTCATGGCCAGGAGAGTCGTCAGAGCACCTAGAGGGTCTATGCTCAGTCGGCAAACACAATCGTACTTCGCATTCACCCTGTCTGGACTGTACCACTGGGCGGCAGCAAAGATGGCAGCTCCATCCGAGTCTTTTACAAGAACTCTCACCTTCTTTCTGTTGATGCCTAACATTCTGCTCTTGGAAGATCTGGTCATTCGTTTTGCTGAGGAGAAACTCGGATGGCGTGGATCCTGGTGGCGTATTGTTGGACTTGTGTGGACTTTTCTTGCTTTGACCATACTCAGTACAGGATTTGTGAATGATCTGGTCGCACCTGGACTTGTGACCGCTTTTCCGGCGCTGCGGATGTCACCCACTTATTATATGCTGAACACCATGATCGAAAACAGGGGTTGAATCTGGTTGACCGCATTCATAACTGGGCAATCTAGTGTTTTGTTGTAGACATAAGGGATTTTGTAATGTTCATAGACTATATGCAATGATTCTAACCCCCGAAGATCATCGTTTGATCTTGTGGCCACCAGGCACTAACTCCGTGAACAGTCCGTCGCTATCGTAGGTGTGTCTGACTTTTTTCAAGAACTCAACGTTTTCAGCTCCATAGCTTGCGATAGGATCCTGGTCTTCCGCAGCATAGTTCATGTACTTGAAAGGATGATACAGACCCTTTTCCTTCGCCGTGGCTACGGATTTCTCAAGAACGCTCTTGATGCCAGCAATCACGACAGCATCGTCTGTCTCACGAAACCATTCCCAGCCAAATGAACAGACTGGAAGTCGCATGAATCAGCCCACAAATAACATCTCCGTTATGGTAGAAGAGATCAAACTTACCAATGAGCGGTCCAGATTCTTCACCGAGACCCATC